ACTACTACTACTACTACTACTACTACTACTACTACTACCACTACTACTACTAATACTACTACTACTACTACTACTACTACTACTACTACTACTACTACTACTACTACTACTACTACTACTACTACTACTATTACTACTACTACTACTACTACTACTACTACTACTACTACTACTACTACTACTACCACTACTACTACTACTACTACTACTACTAAAACCCGCTACTACCACTACAACTACTACAACCGTGCCCGACGTGTTGGAGGGCATTGGTCCCATCCTGCACCGGACCAGCGAGGTAGTCGGCTGGATGAGCGAATGCTCCACGAGCATGCAGGGCGTAGCTTCCCGGGCCACTAAATAAGGAGAGGAATCGAATCACAGCCCGTGAAAGATCGAGTCGGGACCATTGGAGCAGCCTCCCTCTTTTCTCTTATCACCCACCCTCCTTCTCCTTGTCCTGCCCCCACCCTCCATCGCGTCTATCCCCCCCATCCTCGTCGAGAAATTGCGGTCAGAGGCCCCACGATGCCTCAGGATGCCCTCAAGAGGGGGGGATAATGTGGTTCTGGCCCACGTGAGCTGAGACTTCGGCCTCGTCCGCCGATGTCGGTGCTCTCCCTCCCCTCTGCCATCGATTCGCATCCCGTCTCCCGTCTCCTACCCCTCTGCATGCCTTCTCGGTCACCAACCGTCTGGAGCCCTTGCCTTCTCCAGCCCCCTGTTCTCTCCCACGAGGGCAGCACGATGTGCCCCCCCATATCTTCGAATGGCGAAGGGTTGCTATGGCGTCCCAACCTATGCAGCCTGCTGCCGACGCACAGACCCGGCATGGCAGGTCACGGACGACGATGGTTCGCTGCACTGCTGGATTGGCTTCGGCAGCGATTGCTTCCACTCCGCGCGCAAGGCTCGCTGCGAGCGGAGCAGGTCAGACAGAGGCAAGGTGTCGAGGAAGGGAGTGAGGGAGGGAGGGAGAGGGGAGGAAGGGAGGGAGAGGGGAGCAGAGTGGAGCGAGGGGAAAGATGAAACGTTGGCGAGGGGGATCGGCGGAGAAGAAAGAGTGGACGGGAAGGAAAGATGGTTCGAAGAGCAGTGGCACTCGACGCCGCATTTTGTCACGGGCGTGCATTGGCCCAATCGCGTCGCTCATCCCACATGCCCATACTGTCTCGTCGCTGTTATTTGCTTGCGGGCTCGCGGTCGTCGTCGGAGGAGGAGGAGGAGGAGGACGAGGACGAGGGGGAGGTGGAGGGGGAGGAGTAGGAGGACGAGGAGGAGGAGGAGGAGGAGGAGGAAGAGGGTGGGTGGAGGGTCGGTTCTCCGAGCTCTCCCGCGAGCCTCGCCTGGAGGGAAAGAGACAGAGGCAAGGTAGTGGAAAGGCAGCGCTCAACGGAGCACGCCCCCACCGAAGTCTTGTCGGTGCATCCCGCCTCAGTGCATCCCGCCTCAGTGCCGGAAAACATGAGAAGTGGAGGGGCAGACGAAAGTTCACACACACACACACACACACACACACACGCTAACACACACAGACACACTCGCACACACACACACACACACACACACACACACGACACGACACGACACGACACGACACGACACGACACGACACGACACGACACGACACGACACGACAGTGTCCGGCATCTTGTCTGGTCGCGGGTCAGAGGCGTGTTGGATTACTCGCGGGTTCTCGTGAGATGCCTCTCGTGGCCTCGTGGAGGCACTTTTTGTGGGGGGGGTCCTGGAAGTTTCTTGGGACCTCCATCTCTGGAGCCTCTGGGGGCCTCTTGTAGGCTTCCTGGGGGTTCTGCTGGGCGTCCGGAGGGTTTCTGAGGGCTCCTCTGGGCCTTCTGGCGGTCTCCGCGGCGCTCTTGGGGGCCTCGCAGGCAGTCTCGGCGCTTGATTGGGCCTTCTTGGGAAGGCCCTGCGACTGGTACGGCCGACCTTGAGGGGGACGCCGACGACGGCGGCGGCGGCGACGACGACGACGCTGACGCTCTGTAGCCCTTCTTTGGGCTCTCTCGGGAGCCTGTTGGGCTCTGTTGGGGGGGTTCTTGGGGGGCTCCTTGGGAAGCCCCGTGGCCACTTGGAGCCGCCTCGCAGCGGACCTGAGTCCTCTTGGAGGCATGTGGAAAAGTACGCAGCACCCCGCAAAAGCAGATAAAGAGGAGGGTGCCTCCGGGGGGCCAGTGGGGGGGGGCCGGGAAGACGGGGGGGGTCCCCTCCTCCACATGGGGAGGCAGGGGGAGGGGTCTTGAGTTCCCCCTGTCCACAAGGGGGCCACCCCACTGTCCCCCTTTGCAAACAGGGGGAACCCTGGACCCGCACGGGTGGGTGGGTGGCGGGGAGGTGTGCGATTTTGAATTTAGGTCAAGGGCAAACATCGCGAGCGATCCGCTGTCGTTGGTTAGAGCGGTGCGCGGCAATATTTCCGTTTAGGATCCTTCGTATACTATCGCGTGAGACAGACGTATTTCATATTTTGACGACGCCACCTCTCACATTTTCTGACCCATGCCTTTTCTCGCAATTATTTATTTACGCTGCGGCTGGGACATGGTGATCGCCTAAGACGGTCGCTGTTTTACGGCTGACCATGCCATTTTCGACGTGGCAGCGGAGCTGGCCTCACTACCGTGTGGGTGGCTCTGACTCTAGTACCAGAATTCCACGGCACAGCTTGGTGGACTACTGCTATGGTGGTTCCCATTGCGCCAACGCTCCTTCGCGGAACCGAGGCAGGCCACTGGCTTCCTCGTGACGATACACCCGTCGACGGCCTTGTCGACCACAACGTGTACGCCACGGCTATACGCCATTACATTCCCGTTTACCACCAACAGCCAATCGGCAACAGTTTCATTACAGTTTTGTCCTGCGTGGCTCGATGCCACAGCGCGGCCAGGCGCAAGATGGAGACAGATCCCCCCCACACCCATCTGGAAGTTGACAGACACGTCAGCTCCAGACTCGCGGCGGAGACCTCACAATGCACTACCTCAAGATCACGATGTTCGGCATCATATGGATATGCGTTGGTCTTGCAGCCAGGTACATGTAGCGAGGATGGAATGATACCCGTACCAGAGGTCACTCCTGGAACACCGTAGGCAGCACACCATTTCGCGAATTCGTCCGCGAGCTTCGCCCATGGTCGAACGTTACCAACAGCACAATGACACCACCCCAACAGGCCACTGCTCTGCAGCGTGGTCTGAATGGTCTCGCGAGGACCATTGCGACGAGGGCACCGTCCCACATCATCAACTACGGAGTGGCTCTCCAAGGTCAACGCACCGACGCAGTAACCTATATCACGTTCCTCCTCAGGTCGAAATTTGAAAAACATACAGGTCACGCGCGAAAAGTAGCCCACAAAAGGGGACGTGGACGAGGCAAGGGTAAGTGGCGGCGGAGATTGCACGGCCGCGGTGTTGTTACCTTCTTGGCGTCTCTTATGCCCCACGAGTTTGAAGAAATCCCTTTCGGCACAGGAATGGGCACGGGGCGCCGAAACATTTTGGGGAAAGAGCAAAGACGAAAGATGAGCACTTGGGACCGAGAAGGGGAACCGCAAGAAGCGCAACACCTGCGGCATCGCTAGCTACTCCCAGGCCCACTGCTCAGATTCAAGGGGAAGGGAGTCGGCGGCGACGACGACGACGACGACGACGACAGCGGCGACGACCACCACCACCACCACCACCACCATCACCACGACGACGACTACGACGACGACGAAGAAAAGAACGCTCCACACGCCGACGGGGCCTGTAGATTCCTTATCTCTTAGGGGGCGTGGTGTGTGTTATTGGGGCCTGCTTGCGGATATGATGAGGGTCCTGTGAGCCACCTTGGAGGGAAGGGTACCGAAGGCCTCCTCGCCTTCTCAGTATTCGGCCTTCTCTTGACGCCATGCTGGAGGCCACTTGGGCCGTCTTAGGGCCTTTATGGGCCGCTCATGGGGGCCTCTGGCTGCCTTCAGCGGTCGGAAACTCGGCAGGACTAGGACGCTAGAATGTGCTCGAAACGAGAATAAATATCTGTCAGGTTTGCCTCTTGACGCCCTCTGGGTCTCTTGGGGCCCTGTTGGGGCGTCTTGGGGGCATCGTGGGCCGTCGTCAGACCATAACGTTCTGTTTTGCAGCGCTCTTGGCGGCACTTATTTGGGGACTTCATGATGTGTTCCGGGTGCCCTATCGCGGTTCCCGATCGCCGCGCCCAGAAGAGAAACCATTTCTGACCCAGGTTTGGCCAAGGTTACCCGGGATCGAATGGGGGGGGTACCGGATGTGAGAGAATGTACGACCAACTAGACGAAATCCCCACCATTTTGGTATCCATCCCAACCCAATTGGGTGTAATTCTGGCCACCCAAGATAAACAGAGGCTTCTCTTCTGGAGAGGGCCATGGAAAGCTGATGAGAGGCTGCTGAAAAATTAGATGGTAAGCTTATGGGAAGCTCCTGAGAAGGTGATGATCAGCTTCTCGGAAGCTTATGGCATGCTCCTGAGAAGTGTTTGAAGAGATTTCTGGAAAGGATTACGAAAGGCATCTGAGAGGCTTCAGAGAGGTGTCTGAAAGGCTTATACGAGGAGTCTGAGAAATTTCTGGGAGGTTTCTGAGAGGCTTCTGAGAAGCTTCTGATAGGTTTCCTGAGAGGCTTCTGAAGGGCTCCTGGGAGGTTTTTGAGACTCTTCTGAGAGATCTGAGAGGCTTCTGAGGGGTTGCAGAGAGGCTTTCTGAGGGGTTCCTGAGAGGCTGCTGGGAAGCTTTTAAAAGGTTTATGATAGGTTTCTGAGAGGCGTCTGAGAGGCTTCTGAGGGGCTCCTGAGAGCCTTCTGAGAGGCTTCTGACAAGCTTCTGATGGGTTTCATGAGAGGCGTCTGAATAGTTCCTGAGAGGCCTCTGGGAGGCTTCTGATGGGCTCCTGAGAGGCTTTCAGGGGTTCCTCAGAGTCTTCTGATGGGGCTCTTGAGAGGCTCCTGGGAGGCTTAGGAGAGGCTTTGGGGGGCGCTCCTGAGAGGTTTCTGAGGGACTCCTGAGAGGCGTGTGGGAGGCTTATGAAAGGCTTGTGATGGGCTCATGAGAAGCGTATGAGAGGCTCTGAGGGGGTCCTGAGAGGCTTCTGAGGGGCTCCCGAGAGGCTTCCAAGAGGCTTCTGAGGGGCTCCTGAGAAGCTTCTGAGGGGCTCCTGGGGGCTTTAGAGGGAAACCTGAGAAGATTATGAGACGCTTCTGGGCATCATACGCAGTGCCATTTGATGCATCATGGGACATGTATGTTCATATGATGGCCGTATGCCGTAGCATTTGCTACACCATAAGTAGTACACGATTCCTACGACACATCATGTGCAGTATCAGGTGACACGTCATAGGCCGTACCACTTGACACATGGTAAACAGTAGCATATGACTCGTTATGTGTGTGTGTGTGTGTGCCCAGATGCTGCGTCACCAGTGGTATTTCATGGTGAGTAACAAGTCGTAGCATCTGGCACGTCAAAAGTAGTGCCATGTGATAGATCATAGGGTGCACCATACAGCACGGCACCACCGCACACACCGCGCACCGCATACGCAGCACACACCGCACACACCCCACGCACCGCACACGCAGCACACACACACACACACAGCACACATCGCACTCACAGCGGACACGGCACACGTCGCACACACCGCACACACCGCACATACCATACAAGCCGCACACACCGCCATCCAGATCCACATCGTGAGGTCCACATCACCGCAAGGCGTTTTGGGTGTAAATTCAACAAAGACAGCCATGTTGCGTTCTCGAATAAATTGACGCACGTGAGCCGACCACTAAGTTTTGGGGGATATATGAACATTGCTTCACGCTTGAAATCCTAGTGTGAGGTGATTCTGCATGTACACCAGATGGTTGCAATTACTTCCAGTATGTCGTTCTCGCTGGTTGGAATTACCCCCAGCTGGTTGGGATTACACCCAGTCGGTTGGGATTACCACCGCATGCGGGTTTCCCCCCCCCCGCCCACGGTTCGCACCGAAGGGGGAGGGTTTCCGGGCAAAGGGTTTTTTTCCACTTCATCCTCCCCCCGCGGTTCTTTGGGATGGGGCGGGGGGGGGGGGGGAATTATCCCCCCCTGGTTTCCAGCCAGGAAATTGCGCGGGGGGAAATATGCCCAGTCAAGCAGCAACGGTAGATCGCGCTCCGTCAGAGGTTCCGAAGACCCCCAGAAGGGTCCAACATTCTGTTTTGTCAAGATGTCACAAGTAATGAAGGCGTCCCGCTCTGCTAAAAGTCGAAAGTCGTACCCCGAACGTCCAGGAGTTTGTGCAACTCTGGAACGCAACGGCAGGTATACACTTTCGAATCGTTGGGGCCGCGCTGACTTGAGCTTAACTGAAGCGGATTGGGTTGGGGGCTGAGCGGACCTGGGTCCAGTCGGATATAGCTGAGCTGGGCTGAACTGCGCTCAGGTTGGATGAGTTTGGCAGTGGTGGACTGAGCTAGGCTTACTCGGGTTGGGCGGACCTAAGCTGAGTAGTTTTGCAATGAGCTTGGCTGAGTTATAGTGCCCTGGAATGGACTGCCTCGAGCTGCACAGGCTGTCTGGATTGGGCTGGGTTGAGCTGTGCTGTTTTGGACCGAGCTGAACTGAATTGGGCTGAGCTCGTGTGGCGATGTTTGGGCTGAGCGGGATTGATCCGGACCTGGTTTTGCAGAGTTGGATTGAGCGGAGTTGCCCCGGACCCAGCTGGGCTGAGCCAGAGTAAGCAGTATTAAGCTGGACAAAGCAGGGGTGAGTTGGGCTCGACTGAATTGAGACTGACTGAGCCGGACCGACTTAGGCTGAGCTGGATTGAGTTGGTCTGACCGAGCTGGACCTAGTTCAGTTAAGCTGGGCATTGGTGGGACATCCTAGCTTGTCACCGTGCGGGGTTCCACAGCTGGGTTTCGACTTCATTTTATTTGTCGAGAGCGTTGGCTGCACGATCCCGGAGAAACCTCTCATCGTTCAATTTGTCCTCATCGCCCTCATCCGCCTCCCTCGGCCTTTCTCATCTTTCCCAGGTTGGTATGACACGTGTTCTCGTCTAAGACTCGTTGTAGGCATCACATGACGTGGGACCGAGTAAAAATGAGTGGGCGTAGCAGGGAGTGGCAGACGCAGGTTCGGGAGGAGGAGGAGGAGGAGGAGGAGGAGAAAAAGCCCGATTGGCCGCATGCGTGCACCCAAGTTTCGCAGTGCGACTGGATGCTGCGTGTCAGATGTTTTAGCGCCCCGCTCCCCTGGTCAGCCTCATCCTTCTGCCCGCCGACGCCGCAGGCTCACATCACCTCGGCCCAGCGGATACTGCGCGGAAGCTTCCGGGTGCTGATGGATTTGAAGGGTTTCGAGGTCGGCGACTTGGGAGTGGGACGCCTGTGGGAAGCCGCGGGGGGGCCTCTCCCACGGCAAGGCGCACCACTTGACGCAGGCTTCGTTAGCGCAGAGACGGAGGACGACGACGAGGACGAGAAGGATCGGTTTCGCTGGCGTTGAGACTCAACCCCCAGGCCCCCCCTACCCACCCTCTGCGCCCTTCGCCCTCCCCCCATGCCCTCCCCCCGAGCCCCCTCCCAAAGATCCGATGTCGTGATTTTTTCAATGCGGGGTCCCTGGAAGTCTCGACCCATTCCCCGGGACCAGTTTTTCGTCCTGAGTCATGTTTTGACGGTCCCAAGGCCCGGCGAGAGCCCCTGGGGGCCGAAATTAGCGAAAAACCGTTGTCTTGATCTTTTCAATACGATCGATCTCTGAGCTCCTCTCAGCGAGCTCGCCGCAAATTGAGTGGGGGTGCGGACACCGCTCGGGCCTCAGCCTCCAGCGCGCGCCGGCTTCGCCGGCTTCACGGGAGCCTGCGCGTCCAGCTGGCACGCGTGCACGGCGGGCGGGTCGGGTCGGGCGGGCGGGCCCCGATGATGGGCCTGTTTTCCACCACCACCACCATAAGTTGGAGGGGGGAAGGAGGTGGAGGACGAGGAGGAGGAGGAGGAGGAGGAGGAGGAGGAGGAGGAGGAAGAGGAGGAGGAGGAGGAGGAGGAGGACCCCCTCCCGGGCGCTGGTCGGGCGGCGGCCACCCCTCGGGCGGGGCGGGTCGGGTGGGCGGGACATGAGAGTACAGAGGAGACCCATGCCGAGAAGCACCCTGCTTGCCTCCAGGGTGCCCTGGGATTCTTCGGTTTCGACGGTCTCGCTGTGGAGGGCGCGACGCTCCCTCACCAAACATCAGTGCACGTCCTGGGGTCTCAGGGCTGGGTTTCTTGTGGCAGGCTTCTTGTGGTCGGGCCCCCACTGTATGATGCGCCATCGAGTTGGCATGCGTGCTTGACGAGTCGGGTCGGGCGGGCGGGCCCTAACTGGCGGATCGCGTCTGGCGGATCGCGTCGGGCGGGCGGCGGGCGTAACCGACCGGCGAAGCCGACCGCGGGCGAAGCAAATCGAGCGAAGACAGCCGCGGGCGAAGCCCGCCGGGCGAAGCCGACCCGGGCGACACCGACCGCGGGCGAAGCCGACCGGCCGAAGCCCGCCGAGCGGAGCCGACCGCGGGCGAAGTAGACGGAGGAGACCAAGGAGGAAGGAGAAGGCCAAGGGGAATGCGGGAGGAGGTGTGCGACCAGAGGGAAGGTGAGGAGTAGAAGGGCGAGGACGAGAGGGAGGATGATGGGAGCAAGGATGGTGAGAACAAGGATGAGGGCGAGGACGAGGACGATGGGAGCAGTCGGGAGGATGCTGGGAGCAAGGACGAGGACGAGAGGGACTTCGAGGAGGAGCAGCAGGAAGAAGAGGGCAAGGGCGGCGGGAGAAGGGAAGACACGGGAGGGACGGACCCAGACCCCCGACGTCATGATTTTTTCATGACGCGACCCCCAGAGGTCTGGACCTATTCGCCGGGACCGGTTTTTCACCCCGAGTCGTTTCTTGACGGTCCCGAGGGCCGGTGAGGACCTCCAAAGGGCGAAAATAGTCAAAAACCTCCCGTCGTGATTTTTTCAGGACTCGAGGGGGTCTGGGGAGGGAGGGAGGAGGGCGGGAGGGGTGAGGGCAAGGATGAGGGGCGAGCAGAGAGGAGCCGAGAGGAGAAGGCGGGTGCACCGTCGGAGGAGAGGCCCAGGATCTGGGAGCGGGGGCCGAAGAGGCGCGGAGATGGGATGTCCAGCCAGGAGGAGGAGGAGGAGGAGGAGGAGGAGGGGAGGAAGGGGAGGGGGAGGGGAGAGGAGGAGGAGGAGGGGAGGAGGAGGAGGAGGGGGGGAGGAGGAGGAGGAGGAGGAGGAGGAGGAGGAGGGAGGAGGAGGAGGAGGAGGAGGAGGAGGAGGAGGAGGAGGAGGAGGGGGAGGGGAGGAGGGGGAGGGAGGGAGGAGGAGGAGGAGGAGGAGGAGGAGGAGGAGGAGGAGGAGGAGGAGGAGGAGGACCCGCGGCGAGCCCCGCGTCCGCAGCCCTGGCCCCCGGCTTGTCGCTCCCGGCTTGACGGGGCCCGGCGCGTGGCCCCCCGACTCGGCTGGCACTTTTTCCCGGCCTGCCGGCCCGAGCCTCGGGATGGAGAGCCACCCCCCCGTGCCCGGCGTGCCCGACCACCAGCCCGAGCACGCCGCAGGTCCGGGTCGGGCGGGGCGAAAGGGGGGGATTGGGAAAGGGGGGGTTACGAAATTTGCTGCATGCAGCTGGTTTCGGCCTCACCGAGGGGCCCATTCCTCGATACATAGCCGCCTCCGGCGCCGGGAAAATCAGCTACGTGAGCTGATTCTCAAACCCCCCCTTTGCTATCCCCCCCTTTCGCCCGACCCGACCGGGGGGGGAAAAACACACCGACACAGTGGATCGTCGCTTCCCAGGAAGATATATAAGGGAACATATGGGAAGGGGGGGGGGAGGCAAAAGAACCCAGAAGGTGTGGGAAAACGTGGGGAATCCTGAGATTTGTGTGTGTGTGTGTTTATCTGTGTGTCCTTGGGCCCCTTCCGCAGGAGCAGCTGCCGCGTCGGCGAGCTCCCCCTCGGCCGCCGGCGACCGAACAGCGGCACGGGCACGGGCTCCTCGGAGGGCCGCGCGGGTGCCCGAGGGCAGCGCTGGACCCCCCTGGCAGGGCTCGCCTCGAGCCCTCCGATTCGATTCGGGTGCGATTTCGATGACTTCCGTTTCCGATGCGATTCGGTTTCGGATGGCGATCCGGGATCCGATTTCTCATTGGAGGCCTACTCTGAAGTCGGGCCTGTCCCTCGACAGGGGGGAGAGTCAAGAATAGTCCAGAAAAAGGCTGGGGACGATTTTTGACAATTGTTGAGCATTGTGTTGCTATGGTTGGACTATTTTTAATTTTGCGTCCAAGCTCGGCCTGTAGGGGGACAGACCCGACTTAGGATTCGATTCGATTCGATGTCGATGACTTCCGTTTCCGATGCGATTCGGTTTCGGATCCCCATCCAGGATCCGATTTCTCACCGGAGGCCTACTCTTGGGCCTTCCGATGATGTCTGCCGGTCCGACTTCTTCCCCGAGTCGGTTGCCAGTATCCGTCGACCCGGTTCGTGTCGATCTCAAGCAGTGGCGAAGCGTCCTGGCTCGCCCATAGCCCTACCGAGCGATGTTCTAGGAACCTTTTTGTGGTTTTTCCACGACATGTTCTCAGAACATGTCTGGCGGCGTCTGGCTTGCTTTCTCGCACCGGGTTGATGTTCTGAGAGCATCGCTTTGGTCCTCGGAACATGTTTGGGTTCTAAGAACATCACCGCCCACCAAAGCACCCCAACCCAACCCGAAGCCCTCAATTTGCCTTCCATTTCCAGTGGGGGGGGGTCGGGGAACGTTGAAAAAACGCATGGTATCCGCACCCCCCCCCCCAACCCTAAATTCGGGTAAAATTCCCAGACATGCGACGTCCTGATTTTTTCAGGACGGCGTCCCCAGAAGTCCAGACCCTTTCCCCGAGGCCGGGTTTTTCATCCTGACTCGTTGTTTGACGGTCCTGGGGCCCAGCGAGGGCTCCCCGAGGCCGAAAACTAGTGAAAACCTCCCGTCCTGATTTTTTCAGGACGGCGTCCCCAGAAGTCCAGACCCTTTCCCCGAGGCCGGGTTTTTCATCCTGACTCGTTGTTTGACGGTCCTGGGGCCCAGCGAGGGCTCCCCGAGGCCGAAAACTAGTGAAAACCTCCCGTCCTGATTTTTTTACGACGCGATCAGGTCTGGGTTCGGGTCTTCGGGTTGGGTTGGGGTGGTCTGGTAGGTAGTCAATACATGGTGAGGAAGTCTCAGGTGAAACGCACAGCCCGCCTTTTCGACGAGCCTCGGGGTGCGGTAAGGGAGAAGTTCTTGATAAGGGAAAGGAGCGGAGGAGGAGGAGGAGGAGGAGGAGGAGGAGGAGGAGGCGGAGGGAAGGAGAAGGAGGAGGAGGAGGAGGAGGAGGAGGAGGCGGAGGGAAAAGGAGGAGAGGAGGCGGAGGGAGGAGGAGGAGGAAGAGGAGGAGCAGGAGGATAGGAATGCCGAGACGGCCGGCCCCTGCTCAAGCCCCCCCCCCGCGCGCCGACCCGGGGGCCCCGCGCCGACCTCCGAGGGACCCCGACTGCTCGTGCCGCTCCCGGGCCTCCCCGGGTCCGCGTGGAGTGTCGGGCCTGTCCCTCTACAGGGGGACCCTCCTCCTCCTCCTCCTCCTCCTCCTCATTCCCTCCCCCCCTCCTCCTCCTCCCTCCTCCTCCTCCTCTCCCTTCCTCCTAACAGACCGCTCCTCTCTCCTCCTCCTACCCTTCCTCCTCCTCCTCCTCCTCCTCCTCCATCCCGCCTCCCTCCGCCTCCTCCTCCATCCCTCCTCCTCCTCCTAGAGGGCCTGGCCCTCTACACTTAAGGCGGGCCTGGCCCTCTACAGGGGGAAGATTGAAGAGCAGGAAAAAATTATCCTGGCGAAAGACCCAACCATATGCAGTTGTGAGTGCCGCAATTGTGAGTACCTTCTTCGGTGGCGCTCCCTATGGGGCCACGAACCGCATGAGGGGCATGCCGAAGTATGGCGGGGCACACAACGCAAAGGAATACGATAGGTCAGATTACGAAAGAATGAACGCGGGTGAGCCAGAGCGCGAGAGAGTCTGAGTGTGAATGGGTCTGCGTGGGAGTGAGTATATTTGCATGAATGTGATCTTGGCTACGCCTAGTGTAAATGTATATGAATGTGAATGGCTCGAGCATGCCTGTCCGAACACTTGTGACACTGTGCGTGGCCGCCGCAGGCAGCTTCCGCGGGAACCCCGACGGCAGCGCCCGCGCGCCGCGACGCCCATGTCGGCACGCCCCTCACGGGGATCGCACCCGCTTCCGTCCCTTCTTTTCCCCCCTCTTTGCCTGCGCGCTCCAAAAATCCAAAGCTGCGGGTGCAGAGCAGCGCGGAGTCCCCGCGACGCGCGCAGGTCGCCGCGGAGGGGTCCCAGCGACGCGCGCAGGTCGTCCGCTGCGCGGAGCACAGAGAGCTAGCCGGCCGGCTGATTGCGGGCGGGCAAGGCTAACTGCACCACTGGGACCTTAGGTGCAGCTCCCTGAGGGGCCACGAAACGTGTGAGGGGTGTGCCAAAAAGGTGCGGTGGCGCCATGCGAGCTGCGCCACTTGGACCTCAGGTGGAGCTCCCTGAGGGCGGCCCACGTTTTTTTTTGTTTTATAATCGTGAGGGGTGTTGGGCGTCGGTGCCAAAATGGGGCGGTGGCGCCATGCGAGCTGCGCCACTTGGACCGTAGATGGAGCTCCCTATGGGGCCACGAAACGTGTGAGGGGTGTGCCAAAATGGGGCGGTGGCGCCATGCGAGCTGCGCCACTTGGACCGTAAATGGAGCTCCCTGTGGGGCCACGAAACGTGTGAGGGGTGTGCCGAAAAGGGACGGTGGCGCCATGCGAGCTGCGCCACGTGGACCTTAGGTGGAGCTCCCTATGGGGCCACGAAGCGTGTGAGGGGTGTGCCAAAAGGAGCTCCCTGAGGGGCCACGAAATCTGTGAGGGGTGTGCCAAAATGGGGCGGTGGCGCCATGCGAGCTGCGCCACTTGGACCGTAGATGGAGCTCCCTATGGGGCCACGAAACGTGTGAGGGGTGTGCCAAAATGGGGCGGTGGCGCCATGCGAGCTGCGCCACTTGGACCTTCGGTGGAGCTCCGTATGGGGCCACGAAACGTGCGATGATGGCGACGAGGACAACGATGAGGTGATGACGACGATGATGGTGATGATGACGATGATGGTTATGATGGCGGCCATGATGTTGATGCTGATGACGATGATGATGATAATGATGATGATAATGATGATGATGACGATGATGATGATGATGACGATGAGGATGATAGGAGGGGAGAGGAGGCGGAGGAGGAGAGGAGGAAGGAGACGCGGGGCACCGTCTCTTCAAAACGAGGACCCAACACCACAGGATGGTTGGGAAATAGTATGGGGGCTATTGTGCTTATTCCAGATTTCGTAATACAAGGGAGGGGGTCACAACCCTCCCAGACCAGAAGTCTTAGACCCCCCAGGCCATCCTTGAGAGGGCGGCACTTTGCCCAGACCCCCCCCCCGAACCCTTCAAGACGGCTCACATCAGACCCCCCCGCCAAATGTGACGCACCCCACTTTCTTATGGAATCCGGAGTACAATTTCCTCTAGCATTTGGGGGGCATTTTGCTGGTATGTCTTACTCTCCGTCCCAAACCTGCCTCCTGTAGGGGGACCCGCCCGACCTCAGGTCTCCTCCTCCTCCTCCTCCTCCTCCTCCTCCTCCTCCTCCTCCTCCTCCTCCTTCTCCTCCTCCTCCGCCTCCTCCTCCTTCTCCTCCTCCTCCTCCTCCTCCTCCTCCTCCTCCTCCTCCTCCTCCTCCTCCTCCTCCTCCGCCTCCCTCTGGGCCTCGCGAGGTCAGCGGCCCGGCCTCCGCGAGCTCCGCGGGGCCCCCCGCGGGGGCCGAGCGCCCGCCGGCGGAGGTCCCGCCGGCCCCGGGCGCGGAGCGCTGGCTGGCCGAGCGGCTGGACCGCCTGGAGCGCAAGGTCGACCTCGGCGGCGGCGGCGGCGGCGGCGGCGGCGACCCAGAGATCCAACGCACTGAACCCAGACATGATCGCGTCGTAAAAAAATCAGGACGGGAGGTTTTCACTAGTTTTCGGCCTCGGGGAGCCCTCGCTGGGCCCCAGGACCGTCAAAAAACGAGTCAGGATGAAAAACCCGGCGGCCTCGGGGAAAGGGTCTGGACTTCTGGGGACGCCGTCCTGAAAAAATCAGGACGTCGCATGTCTGGGAAGAAAATCGGGGCCGAGGTTTTTCGCGAATTTCGGCCCCCGGGGGTCCTCGCCGGGCCTCGGGACCGTCAGAAAGCGACCCGGGATGGAAAACCGGTCCTAGGGAGTGGGTCGAGACTTCTGGGGGCCCCGCGTTGAAAAAATCACGACATCGGATCTTTGGGGTCGACCTCGTCGGCGGCGGCGGCGGTGGCGGCGGCGACGACGGCGAGCATCACGCATAGGACTCCCAGCTGGGGTCCGAGCAGATGGGCCTCGTCGATGCATCGGCGATGCGGCTCGACGTGGAGCCCGTGTTTCCCCACACCGACGTGGCCGATGCATCGCCGACGTCTCCGATGTATCGCCGAGGCATCGGCGATGTATCGCCAATGTATCGGCAATGTGGTGCGATCCTCCGACCCCATCTACTCCGACTCAATCCAGGAAGCCTCTAATCATCGCCTGAAGTCCAAGGTCGACCTCGTCGGCGGCGATGGCGGTGGCGGTGGCGGCAGCGGCGGCGGCGCGGGGACGGCGAGGTCGACCTCCTCGTCTTCGGCAACCGCAAGGCCACCGCCAAGCGAGCCTTCCGGGAGAGCCGCATCACGAGCATGATCGCCGAGATGGACGACCAGGACGCCAGACCTCCAGCGTCTTGAAAGAATCAGGGCAGAGTGGTTTGCATCGTTCGGCGTCAGGACCACCTCCTGGCCCCTGGACCATCAAAAAGCGAGCCTGGATAAACAATTGGTCCTCAGGAAGGCGTCGGGAGGACCAGGGGGGCGCGCTTCGAAATTATCCCGGCGAAGGGCCCAACCATCCGAAGTTTGAATACGTCCGTTGTGAGCATCGCCGTCGGAGGAGCTCCCTATGGGGCCACGAAACGTGTGAGGGGTGAAGGCGGCGGATGTGAATTTTGCTCTGGGGGCCTTCGGCGGAGCTCCCCATGGGGCCACGAAACGTGTAAGCGGTGTGCCGAAATGGAGGCGGCAGTGCCATGCGAACCCTGCCATTGGGGCCTTCGGCACGCGAAGCATACAAGGGGTGTGCCGAAATAGGGGCGGCGGTGCACTGCGAACCCTGCCACTGGGGCCTTCGACGGAGCTCAATATGGGGCCACGGAACGTGTGCGGGGTATGCTGACATGGAGGCGGCGATGCCATGCGAACCCTGCCATTGGAGCCTGCGGCGGAGCTCCCTATGGGGCCACGAAACGTGTGGGGAGTGTGCCGAAAGGAAGGCGGGTGCCATGCGAACCCTGCGACTGGGGCCTTCGGCGGAGAACCCTATGGGGCCACGAAACGTGTGAGGGGTGCGCCGAAAGGAGGGCGGTGGTGCCATGCGAACCCTGCCATTGGGGCCTTCGGCGGAGCTCCCTATGGGGCCACGAATCCTGTGCGGGGTGTGCAGAAATCGATGGGGAGGGGAGGACGAGGATGATGGGACGATGGGATGACAGTGATGATGGAGGAGGGGGGAGGGGGAGGAGGAGAGGAGAGGAGAGGAGAGGAGGGAAAGAGAGGAAGGACGGCCCCCCGGGGGCGCGTCTCTTCCACAAAACGAGAGCCAACACCACAGGATGGTAAGAGAATCAAGTCGGACGCCCTCCGCCCTCCTTCCTCCGCCTACTCCTCCGCCTCCTCCGCCTTCCTCCTCCTCCTCCGCCCCTTCCCCATTTCTCCGCCCTCTCCTTTCCTTTTTTCCTCTCTTTTCTCTTCTTTTCTTCCCCTCGCCCCTTTCCCCCCTTTTTTCCTCTTTTCTCCCCCTTCTCTCCCCCCCCCCCCCCTCCCGCCTTCCTTTTCCTCCCTCCTCCGCAATCCTCCTCCTCCTCCTCCTCCTCCCTCCTCCTCCTCCTCCTCCTCCTCCTTCCTTCCGCCTTCCTCCTCCTCACTCTCCTCCTACCTCCTCCTCCCGCCTCCCACAGGATCCGCGCGGAGGGCGAGGCCGCCCACGGCGCCCTCGCAAGGAAGGCCTCGCGGAGCTCCGCTATTTTGCGTCGCCCGGGCGCCCTCCTTGCGTCCAGCAGGCGGTCCTCGGAGGAGGGCCGCCGCGGGAGGAAGCCGCCCAGGGCGTCCGGCCAGGATCCAGGGGAGGAGGAGGAGGAGGAGGCGGAGGAGGAGGAGGAGCGAGGAGGTGCCGGGGGGAGGGAAGTGGGGGGCCTTCGGGGTTCTTGTGGGGGGGGGGGTCGGAGGGGAAGCGAGCAAAGATCCGCATGGGGGTTGGAGCAGGAGGAGCAGGAGGAGGAAGGAGGAGCAGCAGGAGGAGGAGGAGGAGGAGCAGGAGGTAGCAGGAGGAGGAGGAGGAGGAGGACGGAGGAGAGGGAGGAGGAGGAGGAGGAGAAGGAGGAGGAGGAGGAGGAGAGGGAGGAGGAGGAGGCGGAGGCGTAGGCGGAGGCGGAGGCGGAGGAGGAGGAGGAGCAGGAGGAGCAGGAGGAGCAGGAGGAGGAGGAGAGGGAGGAGGAGGAGGAGGCGGAGGCGGAGGCGGAGGCGGAGGCGGAGGAGGAGGAGGAGGAGGAGTCGGATCCCGAGCGGAGTCACCACAGAGAGGCCTGGCTGTCCGCTTGGGGAGGCGCTGCGCAGGCTGCAATGATCGGCGTGATGGGGTGCTACAGTATCAGGCGATCGCAAACATGGATCAAGGGGGCGTGGATAAGCGACGGGTCCCGTTTCCATGGGAAATCGCAGGTGTCCGCCGCCGAACGAGGCGGCACAGGCCGCATTTGGGGGAGGGCAACTCCTCCGATCCATGGATTTGGCGACCGCGCGCCAAATCCATGGATGGCTAATCCACCGACAGGAGGCAGCCCCGACCAAGATGCAGGCCTTGAGGCGGAAGCTGGCCGATCTAGGGAAACGCAGAATGTCATAAACATGAAAACTCGGAGGTCCGCGCGGATTTCGCGGAGCCGCGCTGGACCCCCCTCCCTGGAGCGCGGGGCGCGCCAGGAGCGGCGCCGGAGGCGCCGCCAGGGGGGCCCCAGCGCGGATCCGAGAAGTCCGCGCGGACCTCCGAGTCTTCATGCTTCTGCCACTGTTCGCTCCCCGGCCGATCAGCCCAAGCTGCTCGCCGACGTCGACGGCGAGGTCCGGGCGCTCGGCGAGCGCGGGGCGGGCCTCCCCGAGCTGCGGAGTGCGGCCCGCGAGGCCGCAGAGCGCGAGAAGGCCGCCGACGAGGCGCCCGCCGGCGCGAAGCCCAGCGACCACTCGCTGCGGAGCTCGGGCTCGCCCTCGCCCGTCAAGATGTTCAACCGGGCGGACTCCACCAAGAAGTTCCACCGGGCTGACTCCTCCAAGGTCGGGGAAGCGTAAGCAAGGGCGCCCTCGAGGGCGCGAAGTTATTCGCGCTTCGCGCTTCGGCTCCGATTCCTCTTCATCCTCCTCTTCTCCCCTGGGAGGCGGCGCGAAAGCGCGAAGTTATTCGCGCTTCGCGCTTCGCGGAGCGCGAAGCGCGAAGTTCGGAGCCCTTGGTAAGGCTCGAGTGCGCCGGAGCTCGGGTTTGCCGACGCCTTTTGGCGAGCGGGTCCTGGGTTTCGACGGTCCACGGTCCGTGGGATGTCTGCAGCGGGAGCTCGCGTCAAAGTTCAGACCGGGGTCTCGTTCGATACTCGTTTTGGGGACCTTCCTGGGGGCCACCTAATGGGTCTGTTCGACTCAGGTTCGACTCAAGTTCGACTCAGGTTCGACTCAGGTTCGACTCAGATTCGACTCAGGTTCGACTCATGTTCGACTCAGGTTCGACTCAGGTTCGACGCAGCTTCGACGCACGAGTGGAGCGAGTGGCTCCAGGAAGGTCCCCAGAATGAGCATCTAAGTCTCGTAGTTTTTATGATGGACCCGTCAAGCCACCCTTAGTCCCCCGAACCAGAGTCTCACGTCTCCCCGATAAGGACGTGTCCGAGAAGCTGAGATCTGCCGAGGTGATCTTGACGGAGATCGAGAAAGTGGACGATGATGAGAAGAAGCGCGTTGGCATGTCGACGTTCACGAACAATAACGACAAGACGAAGGCGAAGCTCATGAAGAAAGCGACCAGCATGATGTTACACGAAGTCCAGTATGGCCTCGTGGGAAAAGTGGTGTCGTCCAGCTATTTCGACATCGGCATCACGCTCGTTGTGCTCCTGAACGCGCTGCTCATCGGGGCGCAAGTGCAACACTAGTAGGGAAAGGAACAATGGCATAAACAAATAACTCGGAGGTCCGCGCGGATTTCTCGGATCCCCGCTGGACCCCCCTGGCGGCGCCTCCGGCGCCGCCCTTGGCGCGCTCCGCGCGCCAGGGAGGGGCGTCCAGCGCGGATCCGAGAAATCCGCGCGGACCTCCGAGTTTTGATGTTTATGTCATTTTTAATTTCCCTAACTATGCAGTCTCCGACGAGAACTTGCGGGCGCTCCAGATCACGGAGTACATCTGCACGTTTGTGTTCACCGTGGAGCTCTGCTTGCGTCTGTCGGTGCACCGCTCAAGCTTCTTCACCGATAAGCTAGAGCGTTGGTGGAATATCTTTGACTTTCTCTTAGTGGGTATCGCTCTCCTCGACACCGCCCTCACCCTCGGTCATAGGGGAACGAAGAGGCATAAACATAAAAACTCTGAGCTCCGCGCAGATTTCTCGGATCGGCGCTGGACCCCCTTCCTGGCGCGCGGAGCGCGCCAGGGGCGGCGCCGGAGGCGCCGCCAGGGGGGCCCAGCGCGGATCCGAGAAATTCGCGCGGACCTCCGAGTTTTTATGTTTATGTCATTGTTCGTCCCCCTGGTCTCTTCAAAACGAGGGCCCAACACCATGAGGATGATGGGATGAGGATGAGGATGAGGATGATGAGATGGGATGAGGATGAGGATGATGGGATGACAGGGATTATGGAGGAGGGAAGAGGCGGAGGAGGAGAGGAGAGCAAAGTAGAGGAGAACCTCCGAAATTTTATGTGTCATTTGTTCGTTCCCCTAGGTCAGGTCACCTCGGGCGGCCAGGCGTCATTCATGAGCAAGCTCGGAAGGGCGATCCGCCTGCTCCGCATCCTGCGAATCATTCGCGTGGTGAGGAAGTTGTCCCAGCTCCGAAGCATGCTGCACATGATCATCAGCTCCCTGGAGTCGCTCTTCTGGGTTCTGGTCATTATGGTGGGACTCATATATTCATTTGCGCTGCCGGGCGTCTCCGCCAGTGAGCCACGGGGGGAGGGGGCTGGAGGGGGTTTGGCTGCGAGGCGCCCCACCAGGTTCTATGCTTCAGCCTCACGTGTGGTGGGGAGGGCCAAAGCAACAACAACCGCGCGCATGGTGGGCTCGGTGCGCCAGGGTGCCTGGGCACTGCTTTTTCACAAGAGCACGAAGGCCCGACACACGCACACACAAACACACACACACACTCACACACACACACACACTCTGTGTGTGTATCTGTCTCTCTCTCTCTTTCTCTCTCTCTCTCTCTCTATTATTCTCTCCCGCCATCGCTTCACCTTCCGCCCCTCTGAGCGCACAATCTCTCACACAAGAGATTGTCGCAGAACCAGAAGACATCTGGCAGCTTACGAATGCATTAGTACCGGTGTTGTTCATGTTCTTTACGCTAAGCTGCCGCATCCTCTTTTGCCCATTACTGGCCGCAGTCCGATGACCCATCCTCGCATGCATGCTTATCCTCTGTATTGTTGCAGGGTTTCGGGTCCGTTGGCGGTGGGCCACGCGGTAACACCCAGCGTTCCTTGGCACAAGGCGTCGCTTGCCGTACTTGTCCCTGTTAGCAGTGGAGACGCTCTCAGACTTCTCGAAACATCTCGTGTCTTGGTCGGTGGATCTTGGGAGGAAGTCTAACCAGATCATCTCCCAGACTACCCGGAGGGTCCTTTTAGGACCAATAGTGCGTGCAATTTTTTAATGGCTCTGGAACACATAACCAAGGGCCACAACAAAATCGAAAAGCTCATGCAGATGAAGGCCGAAAGCACACAACAAAGCGAAGAGCCACCCCGCTGATGGAAAAATAGCAGCGCGTGTAGGACATGCTTAGCGCCTTCGAGCTCGAGCCCAATTGGATGAAGCACGGCACGCGGACATGGATGAACCTTTCGGCAAGATGAGATTCTCGACGAACACGACGGCGATCTAAAGCGTGGTGTACGAAGAGATGCCCTCTGTGGAAAAGCCAACAAGCATATTCAGCAAATCTACAACTGGACGGCCAGCGAGTAAACTCATGTCATTGTTTGCCCTTCTGTCTGGGATCCGATTTTAGTGTCGGGTCTTGGGCATTACACGATGTGGTTCGCGGCGTTGCTTGCAGCAGTCATGGCCGAGGGGGCATTTCAGGTTTACCACAGATGTTTGCCGCGGCCCCTGTCCCTGATGAGCACAGTTTTGATCGTCAGTGCTTCAAGCATGTTGTTGCTGCGTATTTCTGAAGAGAACAAGCCCTCAATGGACAAAGATTCCTCCATACCGTAACGTTTCACCGCCCGACCTTCTGATCGATCATTTTTCACGCAAGGGGTTGTCGTTGCTCCTGTTGTTTGGGCTCATCTCCCTCATCATCTCTCGCCTTGTGCTGGTCGCGATTCGATGGCCCATCCTCGCATGCATATCTGCAGTGCTGCAAGATGTCGGCTCCGTATGAGGTGAGCCACGGTAACCCCCAGCGCGCCTTGGTCAAATGCACCGCCTGCCGTACCCATCCATATTAGCAGTGGAGACATTCAAGCTTCTCGAAGTACCTCGTGCCTTGGTCGCTGGGTCTTGGAAGAAAGCCTGATCACATCACCTCCCGTGGGTACCCTGACCGTCGTTGTAGGACCGAGTACTCCGCAGTACTTCCAGCTCCCCTCGGGTTCACGCCACGGGGGGCCGACATCGTACGGATTTGGCGAAGCGTTTGGGATGTTGTTCTGCTTTGGCGTCGGGGCTACACCCTGCGAAATGCTTAAGAAATCATGGGTTAAGAGATTCATAGTCTCAGAACTTCCATAAAAACCGTCTATTCAAATCTTAGGATTTACATCGAAACGTTAAGAATAATCGAGACTCTGGCCGAAAACTTGGGTTTTCTTAAGCATCGCCTAAGGTGTAGCCCTGTTTGACCCGCCCGGGCGCGGGGCTCGGAAGCGATCTGGCCCGCGGGGGCGGCGGCCAGGCCCCCCGAGGCGCCCAGGAGGAGGGCTCCAGGAGGACCCCCTCGGCAGGCCCCGACCTCCTCCTCCTCCTCCTCCTCCTCCGAGAGGTTCGAAGGGGTCTCCAGGTTTACTACTGTCGGCCCATGGGTTCCACCATAAGGTGCGTGGGATGCTTCCTTCTTCGCCTCTGCATTCGAGGCAGAGGCCGCGCCTTGTCGATACCCTCGCCGTCCAGCGCCGCGGCGCAGCGCAGCTCGAGCGAACTCGAAACGCGCGCGGGCCGGGCCAGGTCGCGCGGCGTGGGGGGACTGTGTCCGCCCGTAGGGCCTCGACGGCATCAATCGCGAGGGGGCTCTCTCGCGAGGGGAGCGGCGGGGGAGGGCTCCTCCTCCTCCTCCTCCTACTCCTACTCCTCCTCCTCCTCCTCCTCCTCACTCCTCCTCACTCCTCCTCCTCCTCACTCCTCCTCCTCCTCCTCCTCCTCTCCTCCTCCTCCTCCTCCTCCTCCTTCTCCTCCTCCTCCTCCTCCTCCTCCTCCTCCTCCTCCTCCTTCTCCTCACTCCTCCTCCCCCTCCTCCCCCTCCTCCGAGAAGGGGGCGACGGGAGCAACCCGCAGAAGAGCAGCGCGGCAGCGCGAGCGATCAAGGAGGAGGCGCAGAGGTGGCGCGCAGCGGCGGTGCGGACACAGCACGGGGCAAGAGGCAGCAGCGGAGCCCCGTGGGCAGGAAGGCGCCGGGGGGAGACGGCGACAGTGATGGCAGGAATGCCGGAAGGCGAAACGAGGCGGGGAGTGGCAGTGGCCGCGACGATACATACACACGCACACACACACACACACACACACACACACACACACACACACACACACACACACGCACGCACGCACGCACGCACGCACGCACGCACGCACGCACGCACGCACGCACGCACGCACGCACGCAACACACACACACACACACACACACACACACACACACACACACACACACGCACGCACGCACGCACGCACGCACGCACGCACACGCGCACGCACGCACGCACGCCAACTGCAGCACAGCGCGGTGGCGGACATGGTCGCGGTCGTTCTCACGCAGGGGGCCACGGACTACAAGAAGGATATCGACCCACCTCCTTCCGCGACCGACGATCACGATATGTTTCTCGCGATGTATGGATCGCTTTTCAGCACGATGTACACCTTGTTCCAATGCATGTCTGGAGGGGTCAGCTGGGGCGTGGCGTCAGAAGCAATGCGTGGCCCAGGTTGGCTGCTCGAGGCAGTTGTGATCAGCTATGTGTTCTTCATGGTTTTCGCAGTCGCAAACATTGTCAACGGCGTATGAAGCGGCCTTCGGCCCATCCCGCCACCATGCATGGGTTGTGGGTCAAGGTGCAGCGGGAACGATTGAAGGCGACAACATGTTCCCAGCCGTGCCCGTGGAGAGTCCCGACGCAGGGTTCCCAGGATGACAGGTTGGAGTTCTGCAGTTTCCTAGGATGCAGGTTTATTGGGGGGTGGGGCACTTGGGGCGAGTGGGAGCCTTGTTGGGGGCCTCTTGGAGGCCTCTCAGGGGCCTTTTTGCGACCCCCCCTTTATGGGGGGGGGCGGGGGTTTGTTGGGGATCTTGGAGTGCCTCCTGCGCAAACCGTACTCATGGGGCCCGCTCGCGGTCCCAATAGAGGCGTCTTTGGCCCCTCTTGGTGTCTCGGGGACCGTATTGGTGCTCTTGGGCGCCTCGTGGGGCATGCTAGCGCCACGCAGGAACCCAAGCACCTGGACACTGAGGTGTCGTGTTCTTTGTTGTTCACAATGTCCATTCCTCTGGGGCCGTCGAGGCCCGACTGGCGCACTTACCAGATGCACGGTGGCGGATTCGTCGACGGTGCCATCGAGCGTTCCAAGCGCGACCGCGCAATTATGTTGCAGAAGCAGAAGGAGGACGCCGAGGCGAAGGAAAAGCACGTCATTGAATTGCTGACAATGATGGACACAGACGGGGATGCTTTGATTTCGTTTCCCGAGTTCCTGAAAAGCTTAGAGAACGAAGACATTCGCGACTACATTACCGCATTGGACGTTGATGTCGATGACGCGAAGCTGTTCTTCAATATGCTGGACAGAGATGGCAGCGGTACTGTTGACATCATGGAATTCACGAGCGGGATGCGAAGATTCAGAGGCGATGCCAAAAGCGTCGACATGCACATGCTGCTTTACGAGAGCAAGCGGTTGTTCAAATTGGTGTGCTGCCTCGTGGGCACCATGTGTGGGGAGGTAGAGGACGAGGATGTCTTGGGTCCGGGTACGCCGGACGAGGACGAGTGCAGCGATTGAGAAGCTAATGGTACGCGAGGCGGGTTATCCTCATAATCCCGCGTAGAGTCTTCTTGCCCAACCGCCGGCGCACACATCCCCATCCCCCTCTCACAGATTCACTTGTCCTCGCTTCCATCCCATTCCTGTTGAGGTCGAGGGTCGAGGTAGACGTTGCGGCATCAGGGCTTTAAGGCTGCGACCCCTGTCGAGGGACCTCTTCTGGTGCCTTCTTGAGCGACCTCGACCAATTACACAGGAGAATATCCGTGTCAGCGTTCTTATGTGCAGTGATGATGTTGATGAGCATGACGATGAGGTTGATGCAATATAGGAGGTACATGTACATGGGTTTGTTTGAATGTGTGTCGCGACCAAGACCTTCACCCATACCTCCTACATGACACCTCCCCACCCTCTTCCGTTGCCCCTAAGAGGACCTCCGAGGCCAAGACGTCCCAAGAATGCAGCGACACCAAAAATTGAAGTTTCCCCGCATCTGTTTTTCCCTACCTAGGCTCTGCCTAGAAGGGTTCTTACTCTCTTAGCTTAAAGGGGCGGGCAGTGTAAAGCGCCCCGGGCGGTTCCCCCAGTCCCCGCCCCGCGGTTCCCCCAGGTACGGCCTCTTAGCTTAGCGTTGCTTAACTCATCTTAGCTTAGCTTAGCTTAGCTTCATCTTAGCTTCGCTTAACTGTAGCTTAGCTTTAGCTTAGCTTAGCTCAGCTTTAGCTTTAGTTTAGCTCATATCAGCTTAGCTTTAGCTTAGATTTAGCTTAGCTTTAGCTTAGCTTTAGCTTAGATTTAGCTTAGCTGTAGCTTACATGCAGCTTGCCATTAGCTTAGATTTAGCTTAGCTTTAGCTTAAATTTAGCTTAGCGTTAGCTTAACTTTAGCTCAGCTTTAGCTCAGCTCTAGCTTATATTTAGCTTAGCTTTAGCTTAGCTTAGCTTAGCTTTAGCTTAGCTTTAGCTTAGCTTTAGCTTAGCTTTAGCTTACCTGCAGCTTACCTTTAGCGTATCTAAGCTTAGCTTTAGCTTAGATTTAGCTTAGCTTTAGCCTAGCGTTAGCTTAGCTTTAGCTTAGCTTTAGCTTAGCTTTAGCTTAGCTTTAGCTTAGCTTTAGCTTAGCTTTAGCTTAGCTTTAGCGTAGCTGTAGCTTAGCTGTAGCTTAGCTTTAGCTTAGCTTTAGCTTAGCTTTAGCTTAGCTTTAGCTTAGCTTTAGCTTAGCTTTGACTTAGCTTTAGCTTAGTTATAGCTTAGCTTTACTGTTACTACTAATGCTGCTTTCCTAGGGGCTCCAACTCCTAGGTAGGGTCGCACTGAGATAATTGTTTTTTTGCCTACACCCCTCGCGCAGGAGGAATCATAGAGACCAGAACAGACACAAACATACACACATACACACGCACGCACGCACGCACGCACGCACGCACGCACGCACGCACGCACGCACACACACACACACACACACACACACACACACACACACACACACGCACACACACGCACACACACGCACATGCACACGCACATCGTCATCACTATCGTCTTCGCCCGCCTTTTCTCGTCGTGGTCCTCATCTCCCCCACACATAAACCGCGATCTGAACTCCCATATGCGCCCTCACTTTCCTACCAATCGCTCTCACCGTGCGTGTCATCCCTGCCTTCATGTTCGCAGACATCACCTCCTTTCATATTCATCCTCTCTCTCTCTATCTATCTATCTTTCTTGTTCTCTCTCTCTCTCTCTCTCTCCCTATCTCTCTCCGTCTGTTTTGTTTTCTATACATGTATACATATATATATATAGAGAGAGAGAGAGAGAGACCCGCGCACGAGGCCCGGGCGCCCGGGGCCGCGACATGGGGGGGGGCATGGCGGGACTGGGGCCTCCGAGACCCTTGGCATCGCTCGGACGTGTGCATTTTTCCTTCGGCGAGGACCATCGAGGAGCATCCTTGATCATTTGGCGAAAAAACCACGCACGAAAACGAAAAAAACACAGGGAATGGACGTCCGAGCGATGGCCAGGACCGCTCCCAGCGCACCCCGAGGGGCCGTGGAGCCCCCAGGACTGCCCCAGAGAGCTCCAAGACGCTCACGAAAGCCCCCGAGGGGACTTCGACAAGCCCCTCCAAGACAGCCCAAACAGCCCCAACGTGGCCCCAGCTGGATTCCAGACCGGAAATACACAGACCAAGAGGCCTCCAAGAAGCCTGAAGAGACCTCCGAGAGGCGTCCCGAGAGAGCCCGAAGAGGCCCAAATCCTTGGTTTTCATTGATGTGTTCGATGTTTTTCGGTGTCTCGCGTTTTCGACTTTCCGACGCTCCACGACAGCCGACGACGCCCCCAAGACCGCCCCAAGACCGCTGAAAGGGGCCCCAACAGAGCCCCAGGACTGCCCCAGGGAGCCCGAAAATTGCCTGGACGAGCCTCAGACGGCACAAGAGGGCCCCAGGACAGGCCCAAGCTGGGCCACAGAGCGGGAGCGGGAGGCCCTAAGGCGCTCCAAGACGGCC